TCAGTGAATTATCAAAGAAGCAAACAAATCAAGTCAAGAAACAGAATATCAGAACATTCCAGAAACTTTCCTCAGACTTCCTCCTACCTTCTTTCTCCTTTCCAAAAATTATCATTATAGTTTAGTTTTCCCTCCTTTTGAACTTATATACAAAGAATCATACATAGTATGCATTCTTTGGTGTCTGCTTCTTTTGCTCAATAATGTGTTTATGAGATTTCTCCAGCACACAACTCTAGTTCTTTCATTTGCATTGTTATATAGATTTCCATTATGTAAATACAGTGCAATTTATGAATCCATTCTATTGTTGATAGATATTTGGGTTATTTACAGGTTTTTATTTTTTAATGAATAACGCTATGTAAATATTTTCTGCATGTCTCTTGGTGCACATGTGGATGCATTTCTTTTAGGTCTATACCTAGGAATACGGCACTGCCATAGCCATGTCCAGATCAATCTAGCCTTTTTGAGAATAAAAGACCACATGGAGAGAGAGGCCAACCAACTTAGCCAAGGTACCAGCTGAATATAGCTGCATGAATAACCCCCAGCAAGATCAGAAAAAGAACTGCCTGGCCAATCCATAGCATTATGATAAAAAATAATTACTGCTGGCTAAGTCCCTCCATTTTGAACACTCTGTTACACAGCAATAAATAACATAGAAATTGGTACCAGAGATGGGGTACCTAGAAATTTAAAAACAAACAGCATTGACTTTGGAACCAAGTGATAGGTAGAGGCTGGAAAAATGAAGAGGCCGTTAGTGAGAACTGGAGGACAGGCAAAAAATTGTTATGGAAGGATGGAAAGGCAGTGAGGAAATAATACTGAAGGTTAGAAAAAGAGTGAAATGTGGTAAATAGTTGTGGAACAGTGGATAGAAATGTTGCCTGTGGTAACTTGAAATATAGATAACATGCTGAATGAACTTGCAGAGCTGGCTGAGATATTTCCAGGTAGAATACTGACAGTGTCATTTGGCTTCTTAGAGCTGAGTACAGTAAGGTATGGGAAAAGAGAGAGGCACTAGAAGAATTTGGAGGCAATACAGAGAGCACAGACTTTTTGGGTTAGAAAATAAAACTATTTCTTATTCCAAGTTTCTCCACCTGGTGTGAATTTCAAAATAAGAAGTGCCCCTCCTTCTGTAATGAGATTTAGGAGGAAATAAAGCAATGAGAGAGAAGCTCTCACTTCTGGGTATAATAACTTTGATAAAGAGACAAGCCAGTTTTGCCCTCAGGAAAAAGGGGAAGGTGGGAAGAAGGGACTGGGTTGGTCAAGAGGGCAGACTATTAAAGATGAGGCCATAGATCTTGGGCTACTGTGGTTTGTGTTATGTCCTCCCTAGTAAATGAGGTCCTATTTCTTCAGCTCTCCAAACCAAAGAACAATCACAGCAAGCCATAGTCTAAGAAGAGCCATTATTTTGTCCAAGGGGACAAATACTGGTATTAGAAAATATCTTTAGTGAATACCTACCTATTGTGCCCAACTTCTATAGACTTCCCCCTTCTTGCCCCCTTATTCATGCACATGGAGCATGTGAAAGCAAATATGATCCTCCCAGTGGGCACTGTTCCACTAGCTGCAGTTGACTGGTCAAAGTGTGGGCACCTGATTACAAAGAATTTAGTGCGTGGGTGTGGGGAGAGTGGGTGCAAATGGTAGGGATAATTATGAAACAACAGTGGCTATGAACTATGGCCATAAATTGATGACTATTATAGATGGGTGTTAGGTACATAGGTGTTCACTGTAACTATTCTCTCAATAGAGTATTTTGAAATTTTGAAATTGTGTATTAAATGAGAATCTGATGGAAGTACTGGACTATCTTTCTAAAAAAAATGCATGTACACATAGAGATAAAATTTTGGAAACAATTTCAGTAGGTTTATAGGCTCCCACAAGTCTACCTATGGATTTGCAGGATGCCAGATTAAGAACCCTTAGTCTCAGTAAAACCCAAAATACTCAGGAATAAGTTTAACCAAAGAAGGACAAGACCTGTACACTGAAAACTACAAAATGCTGTTGAAAACAAGTAAAGATAACCCTAATATATGGAAAAACATCCTGTGTTCATGAACTGGAAGATGCACTACTAAGATAGCAGTACTCAAATTAGTCTACAGAGTCAATGCAATCCTTATCAAAATTTCAAGTGCCTTTCTTTGCTTAAATGAACAAGCTGATCCTAAAATTAACATGGAAACAGGACTCAGAATAGCCAAGATAATCTTGGAAAAGAACAAAGTTGGAGAGCTCACACTTTCTGATTTCAAAACCTTCCACAAAGCTACACAATGGTGTGGTAATGCCATGAGGACAGACAGATATATATATATATATATCTGTGGACTAGAACTGAGAGTCTACAAATAAATCTGTACATTTATTGTCAACTGACAAGGGTGATGAGACCATTTAATGGAAAAAGAATAGTTTCAATAAATGGTGGTGGGACAGCTGGATATTCACATGCAAAAGAATGAATTTGGACTCCTACCTCATACCATATACAGAAACCAATTAAAAATGGATCAAAGACCTAAATTTAAAAGCTAAATCTATAAAACTCTTAGAGGAAAATATAGGTATAAATCTTTGTGTGCCTGAAATAGTCTCTTAGATATGACACCAAAGCACAAGTTGCAATAAACTGGACTTCATCAAAATTTAAAAGTTTGTACATCAAAGGATACATCAACAAAATAAAAAGACAATTCACAGAACTGGAGAAAGTATTTGTAAATCATATATTCGATAAAGGTTTAGTGACCAAAATATATAAAGAACTTTTATAACTCAATAATAAAAAGATACATAATTTTTGTACACAAGAGACTGACACATTACAACTGACTGTACTTCAATTAAAATAAAAAAAATTAATTTTTTTTAAAAAAACAAGCAAAGGATTTAAGTAGACATTTCTCCAAAGAATATATACATATAGCCAATAAGCATATGAAAAGATGCTCAACATCATTAGTTACCAGGAAAATTCAAATCAAAACTACAGTGGGATACCACTCCACATCTAGTCAGATGGCTCTAATTTAAAAAGTGGAAAATAAGTGTTGGCGAGAATGTGGTGAAATAAGAACACTCAAACATTTGCACCAAACCCTGGTAAAATGGTGGAAAACAGTTCCACCAAACAAAATAGCCACTATGGAAAACAGTTTCATAGTTCCTCAAGAAGTTCAACATAGAGTTACCGTATGACCCAGCAATTCCACTCCTTCGTATATATCTAAGAGAACCGAAGACATATATTTCCATGAAATCTTTTACACAAATGTTTGTAGCACCATTATTCAAACAGCCAAAAAGTGGGAACCTAAATATCCATTAACTTATGAATGGATAAACAAAATATGGTATATCTATTCAATAGAGTATCATTTAGCCATAAAAAGAAATGAAGTATTTCATCCATGCTATAACATGGATGAACACTGAAAACATTACAGTAAGTAAAATAAGTCAGGCACAAAAAGACAAATAGTATACGATTTCACTTCTACAAAATACCTAAAACAGGCAAATTGATAGCTAAGAAAGTAGATTAAAGATTATCAGCAGCGAGGAGCGGGTAGTGGGAGTTATTACTTAATGGGTATAGAGTTTCTGTTTGCAGTGATGAAAACATTCTGAAATTAGATAGTGGTGATAGTTGCGAACCTTGTGAATATATTAAAAACCACTGAATTGTACACTGAAAAATGATGAATTTTATTGTATGCGAATTATATATCAATTTAAAAAAGACCCCTTAGGCTAGAGAAATTCTTCTGTGTTGGAAAAGTACATGTTATTGAAAAGAAACATTTGAAATAAAATACATATCTTAATTTGTGAAAATCCCACGTGTAGTTACAATTTCAAAATGTTCCTTAGTTAAAAGACAATTGTAAACACACAGTATAAGCCCTTCTGAAGCTTATATTTATTATACTTATATATTTATACTTATATTTCATAGGCTTCTGCTTCAGGGAATAAAATATGAGCAAAAGAATGTAACCTTCACTAGGCAAGGGAACACGTGGAAATGTTAAGCTTCTAACTTCAGAAACTACAGCAAACTAGTATGGTCATGTGTTTGAAAATCAATTTCCCAAATGTATAGCTCACAGCTCAGTTACAGAAGGCATCATAATGTAGCTACCCCAGGCCTGGAAGTCAAATGATCACAGTTGCTGTCTTGACTCTTGTTCAGCTTGCTTCTACTTGATCAGCGATTGAGTTGGTTGGAACTGAGGTTCCTCCCAGCTTTAAAATTTTAAACTTATTTGATCTTATTGTGGCTTTATAGTCAAAGGAATTTTGGAATTGTTTTACTTGCTTGGACTGCATTAAAATATTCATGTTTTAAAATTTAGTAAATTATTATTGGACTGTAAGACTTGAAAAGGATTAAATTGTCTACACTTTTAATCAACTGGACCAACTGATCTCAGTCCGCTGAGAATTAGCCTGAAGCAATACCACCACCTGGTGGCTTCTCTTCAACTATGACAACTTCCTTGATGATAGTTTGGCCTCTCCTATGAAATTAGGACAGATGATTCAGATATGACTATCCTAGAAAACAAATTTAATAATTTTACACAATATATGTTTACTTTAACTAATGTTTATGGCATTCGCCTTAAAAACTTACTTTATAATTGAACAAATTCTCTCAACAAGTATTTGTTTAGTGCCCAAGTATAAGAACAAAATAGTGAACAAAATAAACAAAAATACTTGCATTCATACATATTGCATTCTAGTGAGAGGAAATGGACAATAAATAAGCATAATAATTATAATTGTAAATTATAATATGTTTAGTGGGAGGTTCTGAACAAAATCAGGATAAGGGGAGTATAGGGTAGGTTGCAATTTTAAACAGAATGACATTTAAGTTAAGACTTAAAAGAGGTGAGGTCAAATCTACATGCTTGTCTGAAGAATAAAATTCTGTAGACTTATAGTTTAAATACTTAGCTTTAATTTGCAGCAACATGGATGCTCCTGGAGAATGTCATTCTAAGTGAAGTAAGCCAGAAAGAGAAAGAAAAATACCACATGAGATCGCTCATATGTGGAATCTAAAAACAAAAAAACAAAGCATAAATACAAAACAGAAATAGACTCATAGACATAGAATACAAACTTGTGGTTGCCAAGGGGGCGAGGGGTGGGAAGGGATAGACAGGATTTCAAAATTGTAGAACAGATAAACATGATTATACTGTATATAGCACAGGGAAATATACACAAAATCTTATGGTAGCTCACAGAGAAAACAATGTGACAATGAATATGTATAGGTTCATGTATAACTGAAAAATTGTGCTCTACACTGGAATTTGACACAACATTGTAAAATGATTGTAAATCAATAAAAAGTGTTAAAAAAAACTTAGCTTTAATTTTAGCATGCTGCTATAATTCTGCTTCCTCAAGTATTTCCTCTCAGTAAACAGGAACTATAATACCAGGTCAATATTTACAGGGATGACTACATTTTGAAAAATGATGTTGCCCTGAAGATAAGTATCTTTTCTATGGGGTAATGACTGTCTTTAGTTAGTATCAGAAAATATACAGGATTCAAAAAGACACATACACCCCAATGTTCACAGCAGCACTATTTACAATAGCCAAGACATGGAAACAACCCAAATGTCCATCAACAGATGACTGGATAAAGAAGATGTGGTGATTCTAAAGGCAGCAAGAGAAAAGCAAAGAGTGAACTACAAGGGAAC